ATAAGGGATAAGGGATAAGATAAGGATAAGGTTGGCGCGAGTTCTTTTGACGTCCAGATAAGGGTGGGCCCACCCCTATGAGCTGTCGTGTGGGCCCCGCTCTACTGCTGCTATCGGGTGCGTGCGCGCGGCTCACGGTGCCACCGCCGCGCGGTGCCGCTGTCTCGCAAATGCGTGCGCACGGCTCATGGTGCATGCTGTCGTGCATGCTGCCGGCGGTGCGTGCTGCTGTGCACGCTGCCAAGCGGTGCGTGCGCCGCGCTGTCGGGTTGCTGTGCGACACTCTTGGCGGTGCGTGCTGCTGGGCGGCCCGCTGTGCGTGCTACTGCCTATGCCTGCACCGAAGTGTGCTGCCCGGTGGTGTGTCCATAATAAGCCGCACTGTCGGGTTGCTGTGCAGCACTCTTGGTGGTGCGTGCTACTGGGCGGCCCACTGTGCGTGCTGCTGCCTATGCCTGCACCGAAGTGTGCTGCCCGGTGGTGTGTCCATAACAGTCGCAGAGTATCAGCGGCAGTTCCAGACCCTTCTCGTCAGGGCCTCGTCAGTGCGCCCAGACCAGCAGGTGGATATGTTCACAGTTGGTCTAGCCGAACCCCTAAGAGTGGATGTAGAGATGCAGAGCCCGCCTAACCTGGTCACGGCAATGAATTTGGCACGGGCCTTCGAGCGCAAACTACAGATTAGCCGAGGGCCGTTCAGCATGGGATGCCCAGCAGCAGCTTGGACAAACCCAAAGGCTACGGAAGGAGGGTCTTCGCTGGCAGCCAATAGGGAAACCCTCGGAATGGCCCCATATCCAGCAGCCATCCAAGAACGAAAGACACAGACAAGCACCAATTCCAGATCAGCATCCAGTGTGGAGAGTAGCGGCGGTACACTCCCTATTAAGCACTTGTCTAGGGCGGAGATGGCAGAACGCAGGGCAAGGGGGCAATGTTTTAATTGCGATGAACTCTACTCAACAGGGCACAGGTGCAAGAGACTTTTCTGCCTCCTGGTGAAACAAGAGGAAGAGGAGGATGAACCCCCTCCATGGGAACCCGATCCAGGAGGGCAAAGCCATTCAGGATTCCTTTGAGGGTGTCTTTGACACCCAATTCGAGCTTGAGGACAAGCTCGAAGTCCGGGAGGGGTGTGATGTTATGGACACACCACCGGGCAGCACACTTCGGTGCAGGCATAGGCAGCAGCACGCAC